ATTTAACGAATTAATTTATTATTATTAATATTATTATTATTTTTATTTTTATTAATATTATTAATATTTTTAATTTATTGAGTATTAATTTTTTTGTAATTTATATTTAAGGAAAAAAAAAAATTTTTAAATAATTTTTCTAAATATCCTCTTAAATAATCTTTTTTATTTATAATATTTAAGTTGAATTAAAAATTATAATTTTAAATTAACAAAGTTTTAAATTATTTTATTTTTTTAAAATATACTTTTTAAACTTTAAATATTTAGATATTCAAAAAACTTTAGAAATTTTTTCTTTTTTTTAAAAAAATATAGAAATTGTTAAAAAATATAAAAAATTAATAGAAATATTAATTTTTTGATTCTGATATTAATTTTATAATTTATTTGATTCTATTTATTATATAACCTATATTTTAATATAATATATTAACATAAATATTGCCTTTTTAATTTTATTTTATTTTAAAATATAAAAAATTTATTTTTTTAATTATTTAGTTTAAATTTATATATTTATTATAATTAGTAAATATTATTATAAAAAAGATATTAAATTTAAAAATAATATATACATAAAATAGTTTTTATTTTATATATTATTTAAAAAATAATATTATAAAATTTATTTTTATAATTTAAAAAATGTACCTATAAAAGCTTTTTATATAAAAGCTTTTTATAAATTAAATGAAATATTCTAACAATTGTCTGATTATATAGTTATATTTATTATATATATATATATTTTTTAAATAAAATATATTCTAATTTATGAATTTACGATTTTTTATTTGTTTTCTAATATTATTTAGCATTTAATTAGACAATTAATAATAAGATATCTGAAAAAAAATTGGAGAACAAAACACATTTAAAAATATTAAAAAAATAAAATAAATACGTAGCTTCGATTACATTATAATAGCAATTAATCAAATTTATAAAAAATAATATATACAATTATATTAAATTTAATAAGTAATAGAGAAATTTAATTTAAGATAGAGCTTAAAAGAAGCAATATTAAGTTTTTTAAAAAATAAATATTTATATAAAATTAGAGAAAAAAGAAATAAATATTTTTGTTGTGAGGTTTTTATATTATCTTTAATTTCTTTATTTAAAAATAAATTTAAAAAAATGAATAATGGCTATTTTTCTTTCTTTCTTACCACTATATAAATATAATTTTTGATTATTTTTAATTTATAAAATTGAATTATGTGAAAAATATTTAGTTTAATTACTTTCCTAAGAATTAAAAGAATAAAAAAATAATTACTTTCATTTTAAAAATACTTAATAACTCCACAATTCAAAAAAATTATTAAATATTTCAATTATTATTTTAATAATAGATAATTATATTAAAATATATTGATTTATTTTTTTTAATCAAAATTAATAAATAAAATTATTTTAATAATTAATTTTCAAAAATATAAATAAATAAATTTATATTGAAAATCAATAGATATTTATAAATTTGTAAAAATAAAACATTAAGAAATATTATAGAATAAATATATTATAAAAACATTAAATTAAAAATTTCATTATACATAAATATAAATATACATAAAAATAATTAATATAATAATACAATTAAAATATAATTAATAATAAAAAAAATACGCCTTAATAACTATTTTATTATTATTAATTGCCTTATAAAATAAAATTATCAAAATCAGAGTATCATAAGCATTATTTTGATTTTTTATCAAGAAGATACAAAGCTTCACATTTTGTGCATGCATTAGTAGATTAATCACATTCTAGACAATTTTAAACAGTAGTACAAGTTTATTTACATTTCATATATATATATCCTTACTAAATATTTACTTCTTGTGCTATATGATAACCATCAGAACATTCCCTACACATTCCTGCAAAATTACATTTCTCACATCCATCGTCGCATTTATATTAAGATGGATCTATGTTTTTTTACATACATTATTATTTATAGCCAATATATTCATAGTTTTCAATACATTTTATGCATTTATTTTTATCACATGAAGTACAGTTATGGAATGTATTTTAACATCTATTACATTATTTCTTTGGATTAGAATCATCTTTATTATTTTCAGTATCATAATAGCCATCTTGACATTCTAAACATAATCCTTCTTCAGAACATTAAGCACATCCTTCATCTTCATTACAGCTTTGTACTTTATCTAGAACTCTAGTAGCGATTTCTAAACATTATTTACTTTCTTAATCTTAATAATAACCATCTTAACATTGTAAACATTTCCCAGATTAATTACATTACATACATCCTTAAGAGCAACCATCTTAAGTTTTTAAAAAATTGGTCAAAACACTAAATATTAAAAAATTTATTAGAATTAGTTTTTAAAACATTTATTTTTATTTATATTTTTTATATAATTTTATTAATAATTTTTAATCAATATATTTTTTATATTTATATATTATAATTAACATTTTAATGTAATATTTATTGAATTTGAATTAATATAGATATTAAAATTATATTATGTTTACGAAATTAATAATGAAATTATTTGTAGTATTTATTTATTTTTTTGACTATATTAATTTTAATATATTAATATTTTTATATTTTTTTCTTTTTTTAAAAAAAAGAATAAATTTAATTATTAAAATTATAAAATATTTAATATAAAATTATTATATAGATTTATATAATTATATAAGAACCTCTAAAAATATACTTTAAATTATTTATTAATATTAAATAAAAATACATATAAAATAATTATATTAAAATAAATATTTTTTTTAATTTAATGAATTTAGAAAATATGAAAAATATATTCATTATAAGATTTTTTAAATTATTAAAATTTAAAGCTTGCTATTTTAAAAAGGTATAGATAATAAAAAATTACTATATTTAAATAATTTTATTATTATATTTTTTTTTAATTACATAATTAATTTTTAGATTATTATTATTATTAATCATCTAATTATTTTTAAAAATTAATATTATTAAATTAAAAATAACTTTAATATATAAAAAACTAAAATTAATAATTATATAAGTTAATTATTATTTTTTAATAAATTAAATATTATTATAATAATCTATATAAATAATATAAAATATAACTATATAAAAATATTTATATTAATTTATATATTTATTTTTATAAAAATATTTTTATAATACTATTTAATTAATATTGTATATATATATATATTTAAAATTTTATTTTTATTTTCTTTCTAAAATTTTGAATAATTTTTATATTTATTTGATAAGGAATTGTATATAATTCATAAATAAATTATTATATTTATATTAAATATTTTTTAAAAAAATAATTTCTTTAAAAATATTAAATATATAACTTGACTAAAATATTTTTTTATTTTTTTAAAATAATAAAGATTTTTAAATATATAACTATAAATTTAATATATATTTTTTTAAAAAATAAAAAATTAATATATTTTATATAATATACATATAATTTAGATTTTCATTAAATATTAAAATGAGAGAAAAAAATACAATATTAATATTAACTCGATTTTTAATTTTAATTTTTTATTAGCAACTACAAAAATATATGCAATTTTTTAAGAAATAATATATAATTTTTTTTTTATATATTTACTTTTATATATTAAATTATTATTATTTTATATTTTTTTTTACCATTTTAATAGTACTTTTTAATAATAAAAAAATAAAATAAGAAGAATAATAAATAAAAATATGTTGAAATATAAAACAATTTCCTTTTAATAATAATAATTATTCTCTAAAGTTTTAAAATAATTAATAATGAATTAAGCATTAATATTTAGTTTTTTTATGATTTATTAAGTAGAAAAAATAAATAATAAATTAATATAAATTTGATAAAAAAAAAGTAAATTAATTCTTATAAAAAATGAAAATAATGAATATAATAATATATTTTTTTTTGAATATATTTATAATTAATATGAATATTAATTAATTTTTTTTATATATCAATATATATGTAATAATAATAATATTATAAAATACTAAATATTTTAATATATTAAATAAAAATATTAATAATAATAAATAATTTTTATTTAATAAATATGTATCTTATATTTTTTTTTTTTAAAAAAAAAATTTTAAAATATTATTTAAATGGTAATTATTAAAATATATAATGGTAATAAACAAAAATTAACGCAATTAGAATAAATTTATATTAATAAATCATTTTAAACATTAAAAATTTTTATAATGTATATAAACTTATAATTATAAAATTTAATGATCTATTATAAATATTTTAAATTTACAAAAAAATAAAAATAAAAATTTATTTTATTTATAAATATATTTATATAATGACGAAAAAAATATTTATATAATAATTATTAATGTATAAAATATATTAAATATAGTAATAAATATAAAATCTATCTTTTGATAATAATATAAAAAGCAAAATAAAAAAAACATAAAAAAGAAAAATAATAAAATAATATTGTATTATTATATTAATAATTTATAAATGTATAATAATATAAAAAATATATATAAATATTAATAAAAAATAATATATATTATTATAAAAATATGAAAATAATTATAAAAATATTTTATTATATTAATACTAAAAAAATAGTAATTATTAAACTATTATAAAAAAACATAAGATAATAAATAACTATAATAAATTTATTAAGAATTTGTGATAATAATATATAAAATATGAAAATAAAAAATATAAATATAAAATATGTATTAATATAAATATAAAAAATATAAATTTATAAATATACAAATATATAAATATATAAATATATAAATATAAATATATATATATATATATATTTATATTTTTAATATATTTTTACACATTTAATTTTATAAACTAATAAATTAATTTATTTTATATTATTAAATACACTTATAATAAATATCATATACAAAAATTAATTAAATTATAAATTAATAGAATAATTTTAAATAATCTATATAAAAGTTCTTTTATATGATAAATAAATACATTTATTTAAAAAAACAAATAAGTTATTGACTTTTTAATTCTTCTAAATTTTCTTTTGTATTTTTTTTTTAATAGGTTGCTTATAATATATATTTAATTAATAAAATAAAATTGTAAGAAAAGTTTATTTTAATATTCAATTATATAATAAATATTTTAATATAATTTTAAATTTATATTAAAATTATTGTTTTATAATTTTGTAATTTTTTAATAATTTATAATTTCAAAAACATATATTTTTAAAACTTTAAATATTTATATAATTAGAAATATATTTGTAAAAAAAATTAAAAAAATATTTAAAATATATAAAGTTTTATATATTTATAATACAAAAAAATTTATAGAAAATTTTATGTTTATTGTCATAGTACTTTTATGATTTCTTTAAATCTATCTTTTTTTTAACTTATATTTTATATATATTGCCTTTTAAATTAATTTCAAAAACAGATAAATACTTACATTTTAAATTACATAGTTTTAATTTAGTTATTTATTATATTTAAAGAAAATTAATATAAAAGAAGTATGAAATCAACATATAATATTTAAATAAATATTTTTTTATTAATGTTTTTAAATTAAATATATATTTTACATAAATATATATATATAGATTTATATTTATTTTATTAAAAAAAATATATATTATAAAAATTACTTTAATAATTAAAAAAGGTACTTTTTTTATTAAAGCATTTTATATTATCTTTAATTTTTCTTATTTAAAAATCAATTTAAAAAAATGAATAATGGTTATTTTTATTTCTTTCTTACCACTATAAATATAATTTTTGACTATTTTTAATTTATAAAAATTGAATTCTGTGAAAAATATTTAATTTAATTAAATTAACTTTCCTAAAAATTAAAAGAATAAATAAAATATTAATATTCATTTTAAAAATACTTAAAAACTCGACATTTCAAAATAATTATTAAATATTTGAATAATTATTTTAATAATATATAATTTTATTAAAATATATTGATTTATTTTTTTAAATCAAAATTAATAAATAAAATTATTTTAATGATTAATTTTCATAAATATAAATAAATTTATATTGAAAATCAATAGATATTTATAAATATGTAAAAATAAAATATTAAGAAATATTATAGAAAAAAAACATTAAAAAAACATCCTATTAAAAATTTAATTATACTTAAATATAAATATACTCAAAAATATTTAATGTAAAAATACAATTAAAAAAATTAATAAAAAAAAAATACTCCTTAATAACTATTTTGTTATCATTAATTGCATTAACCCTAAAATAAAATCTATCAAAATCAGAGTATCATACGCATAATTTTAATTTTTTATCATAATTATACTAATCCTTACATTTTGCGCATATCTAAGTATAACCATCACATTCTAGACAATTTTTAAGAGTAGTACAAGTTTTATTACATCTCGTATATGTATAATCACAGTAAGTATTTACTACATCTTCTTTATGATAACCATCAGAACATTCACTACACATTCCTGCAAAATTACATTTCTCACATCCCTCGTCACATTTATATTGAGATGGATCTATGTTTGTTTACATACATTATTATTTATAGCCAATATATTCATAGTTTTCAATACATTATACGCATTTTCTTGAATTACATTAAATACAGTCATTGTATCCATATTAACAGCTATTACATTCTTTCTTTGGATTAGGATCATTTTTATATATTTCAGTATCATAATAACCATCTTTACATTCTTAACATAATCCATCTTCAGAACATTAAGCACATCCTTCATCTTCAGAACAACTTTTTACATTATATAGAACTCTAGTAGCGATTTCTAAGCATTATTAACTTTCTTAATCTTAATAATAACCATCTTAACATTATAAGCATTCCCCAGATTAATTACATTACATACATCCTTAAGAGCAACCATATTAAGTTTTTAAAAAATTAGATAAAATACTAAAAATAAAGAAATTTATAAGAATTAGTTTTTAATACATTATATACTTTTTTATATTTTTTATTTAATTTTGTTAATATTTTTTAAATTAATAAATTTATTATATTTATTTGTATAATATAAATTATAATAAATATTTAACGTATTTTAATTAATATAGATATTAAAAATAAATTATTTTTCAATATTAATAATGAAAAAATTTGTAGTATTTATTTATTTTATATATTAATATTTATATATTTATTTCTTTATTTGAAATGAATAATATATTTAATTATTGAAAAATAAAAAAATAAATTAATATATACCTTTATATTATTAAATAAAAACAATTAAAAATATAGCTTGCATTATTTATTCAATATAAATACATATAAAATAATTAAATTTAATATGATTTTTTTTATTTTAATGATTTTATAAAATATGAAAAATAATTACATTTTAAGATTTTAAATTTATTAAAATTTAAAGCTTGTAATTTTTAATATATATATTATAACAAATGACAATAATTTAATTATTTAATTATATATTTTTTTATATTTATATAATTAATTCATAGATTATTAATATTATTATTTTCTTATTTTTTAAAAAATGTAATTTTATTAAATAATAAATATAATAATATATAAAAAACTAAAATTAATAATTAATAAGTTAAATTTTATTTTTAATAAATTAAATAGTGTTATTATAATAATCTATATAAATTATAGAAAATTAAACTAAATAAAATTATTTATATTTATTTCTATAGATACTATTTTATAAATATTATATTTATATAATTAATATAATATTTTCTTTCTTTTTATTATTTAATATTAAATATTTTTTAAAATAAAAATAATTTATAATATATTAAATATATACTTAACTAAAATATTATTTTTTTTTTTAGATAATATTGATATTTTTATTAATATTAAATTTTTTTAAATTTATTACTTTAAATGTATGTTGTATTTTTAATAAAAATAAAAAAAGAATATATTTTGTATATACATATAATTTATATTTCCATTAAATATTAAAATGATTGAAAAAAATATAATAGTAATAATTAACTGGAACTTTAATTTTTATTTTTTATAAACAACTACTAAAATATATGCTTTTTTTTAAAAAACTATATTATTATTATTTTTTTAAGAAATGCTATATTATTTTTATTTATCTACTTTTATATATTAAATTATTATTAATATAATTTTATATTAGTTATTACCATTTTAATAGTACTTTTTAATAATAAAAAAATAAAATATGAAGAATAATAAATTAAATTAAAATAAATGAAAATGTGTTGAATATAAAACAATTAACTTTTATAAAAAAATATTCTTAAAAATTTTAAAATAATTAAACATTAAAATTTATTTTTTTATGATTTTTTAAGTAGAAAAATTAAAATTAAAATATAAGATAAATTAATTAATATAAATTTGATAAAAGAATAGAAATTTAATTTCTTATAAAAAATTAAAATTATAATAAATAAAAATATATAATATATTAATTAATATAATAAAATATATTATTTTTTAAATTTATTAATTTATAATTAATATGTCTATTTTTTTTTTTTGTATATCATTCTATTTAATTTTAAAAAAAATTATATAGATAATAGATATATAAATAAAAAAAAAAATTAATTATAGTATATCAATTTATATTTAATAAATATGTATCTTATATTAAATTATTTTTTAAAAATAAACTAATTATCTATTATAATAATATTTTAAATAATAATTATTGAAAATATATAATATTAATAATTTAAGAATAACGCAAATAATTAAGAATATTATTAAATCATTTTAGGCATTAAAAAATTATATATTGTAAATAATAATATAAATAAATAAAAATTTAAAATATTTAATAATATAATATAATATATATACAAATAAAAATAATATATATATATATATATACATAATATATATATATTAAATATATTAATAATTATATTGTTATTTTTATTACTATTTATATATAAATAAATAATTTTTATTTATAAATATTATCATACTTTTGTTCTTTTAATATATTATTTTATAAAATAATTTATTTGCTTATTTTAATACATACAATTTTTTATGTTATCACTTTTTTTATTTAAAACTTATTTGAAAAAAAAAAAATAATAAAAAGATATTTATTATATTTATTTTTATTTATTAAGAAAATAATATATTATTTATATATTTATTATTAAATAAAATTTATACAATAATTATATATATAAAAATATTAATTTTTTTATAAAATTATATAAATTTTTTTTAATAATTATAAAGATAAATATATATAAATATATAGATTAAATTATTATTTTATTTATTAAAAACCTTTTTGATAAAAATTAATTTTCATATTTTTAATATGATTTTATATTAATTATAATTATTTATTTTACATTTAAGTTTTAATTTCTTATTAAATTTTTAAAAATTATATATTAAAATATATTTAAAATTTTAAAATGAATAATAAAAAAAAAAATTAATAATTAATTATAAATTAAATTTTTTTTCTTTTTTGTTATTAAAATAATAAAAAAAATATATAAAATCATATATTAATTAGTGTCTTAATTTTATTTAGTTCCCTATTTTTTAAGGCTATAACAATAATAAAAATAAATTAAAATTTCCTAAACAATGTTACTAATGTGATTAATAATAAGCATTCATTCATTCAATCAATTTTATTTTATTGATTAATTTATTTAAATATGTCTTTAATGTATGTATTTATAAAATCTTTGTTTATCGTGCAAGAAAGTTATTTGCATCGAAAGTCTTCCAGGATTTTAACAAATAGTATTATAAGTGCATTTATTAAATACCCTGAATTCTTTATGTAAAAAAAGAAAAAATATGTCATTGAATGTAAATAACTTAGTTTCTTAGTTTAAATGGAATATGTACTTAATGTAAATCAGTTTTATATTTTAATTAAAAAAGTTAATAATGTATTTTTTTTAATAAATTTAGTAATTGTATAAATTGTTCTGAAGATTTTTACAGCAAATATTTTTCGGAATTTTACTAAATAAAATTTCAAGATAATGCAAGTAAATGAATAATTGAGTTATGCATAAAGTTATAGGTAATTATATTAAATAAGCTGTTTTTTATAAATTATAAAATTTATTATTAGTTATGCTTAGTTAAAACTGTTATAATGAAGATTTAAATAAAAAAAAAATATATAAATTTTATATAATTATATAAAAATATAAGATTTAAATTAATTTTTATTTGTATATATTATTTAATTATTATAAAATATAATATAAAACAAAAATATATAATATATATAATTAATAAATTTAAATAAAAAATATATTTATTTATTATTTTTTTATTTAAACTTTGTTTGTTTATTTTTATAAAAAAAAAAAATTATTAGATTTAAATTAATTAGATTAAAAAATTTTAATTTTTTTTTTTTATAATTTAAATTATTTATACTTTATTTATATATAATTGTATATTGAAAATAAATATTAAGTTAAAAATAAACTTAAAATATTATATAATTAAAATTTAAAATATAATTATAATAAAAAAAAGATTTTTATATATATATGTTAATTTTACAAAAAAAAATTGAAAAAAATTTTTATATATATATATATCCAATTATTTTATTATATTTTTATATAAAATAAAAAAATATATTAAAGGTAAAAATTTAAAAATAAGTTTTATATAGATTAGAAATTTTAAATTAAAAATATTATATATAATAATATTTATATAAATTATATTTTTATTACTATTAATATTACTATTACTATTTATTAATATTATTATTATTATTATTATTATAATTATTATATTATATTATTATTATTATATTATATTAATATTTTATTTTTTATCATTATTTAAATACTAATTTTTTTAAAAAATATTTAAAACTTTCGAATTTTTTTTTTTATTATTAAAATTTTAAACTACTATTATAAAAAACATTTATTTTAAAAAAAATTAATATATTTATTCTAGAAATCTATATTTTTATAAAATATAATGAAAAGTAAATAAATCAATTTATAATAAATTGTAAAGATAAAAATAAAATATCTTAAACATCTAATAAATAATTTATTAAAAATAATTTTATTTAAATATAAATTTTAATAAAAAAATATTAATATTAGCATATTTAAAACTAATAGTCAAAATATAATAATCTATATTTTTATTAATGAAATAAAAAAAATTAAAAATTTAAATAGTATATTTATTTATAATAAAATAAAATATTATTTATTATATATACTTTATATTATTTATATATTAAAATTTATATTTATTATAATAATTATATCTTTAATAATTCAATTAATATTTCAAATATATTATAAATAATTTATTTTTTGTTTATATGTATATAATTTTTTATAAGCCAATTTTAATATTTTCTTATAAAATATAAATTATATTAAAATTTTTTAATATTTTTTTAATATTTTATACTTTAATTATTATTTTTTTTAATTAAATATTTTTTTCTAAATAATCAATAAACATAATAAAATTATTAAAAATTTTGTTTAATAAAACTATTTTTGGTTTTATGAATTTAATATTAAAAAATGTAAAAAAAAAAATTGTTCTTACATATTTAATGAATTAAAATGAAACTAAAATAATTTAAATTTTGAAATATATAATATTAATTATCTTTTTTGTATTCATTTTTTTATATTGTTTTAATATTTAATAATTTTCAAAATATTTCCAATTATGTAAATTTTTTTCGAAACAAATAGTAAGTTTATTTAGAAAAAGTAAATACTAAAAATTTTTATTTTTTAGAAATACATAAAATATTTATTTATTTGTCAATTATTAAAATTTAATAAAATGAAAAAGATTCTTAATATTAAAATTAAAAAATTATTATTTTATTTATATTTAATTTATTATTTTAAAATATATTAATATAATAATGCTAATTAATTATTTAAATCTTCTTAAATAGCGAAATACAGTTTATTTAAAT